ACCAAAAACATGTATGTTAGGCTGATTGGTAACTCTAAATTGTCCCTAGGAGTGAGTGAGAGAGTGAGTTTGTCTCTATGTCCCTGTGATGGACTGGAAACCTGTGTCCCCCGCGTCTCGCACAGTGATAGCTGGACATGGGCACCACCAGTGACCCCTGTGACCTGGAAAGGAAGAAGTGGGTAAAGATGATTGATGGATGGATGAATAGATGGATGGAATGGGACATCACTTCAAGAACCAAATGCTTCCATTATCAGTACTTCCTTACGTGTAAAGCCAGGGGTATCGAACTCTTACAAAAGGGTCCAAAATATAAAACATTTCAAATCGAGGGCCATTTTCACTCAATGCATTAACTCCGGTCAGATACCCGACATCCTTTCGTGGTCGCAGGTTCCTCAACAGGAGTTTCATTGGTTGTGTTGATGTTCTCCGTTGCTTTTTCCACATCAAAATCAACGATTACGGAAAAATTCAAGCCCGTTGTTCTTTGCGTCAAAGTTGGCCATCAAGAGAAGTCTGCACCAAATAAATTATGCTTCATTGTTTTAAGCAAAACGAGTAGCGATGGAAATATTTTACTTTTAAAATATCATCTTGGGGACCAGATAAGATGTTAACAAGGGCCATATTTGGCCCTTGAACCTTGAGTTTGACACTTATGATGTAAACTGACAATAACTGACAATAATAGATCATATAGTTTTCTAGTTTGCAACAAGTATGCCACTGGATTTTCTTGAGCTTTGGTAAAATATACTTCAGTAGGAGGAAAACTTAGATTTCTGAGCCTCTTTAGTGCAGGGTTGTCTAATTCTGGCCCTTGAGGGCCACTACCCTGCATGTTTTCAATGTTTCTTTGCTTCATCACACCTGATTTGAATCAATGGGTGATTAACCAACTTCTGCAGAATGTGAGGAGGGAATTCAAAGACTAGGACTGGACCATCTGCCTTTGATTTTTTTTTTTTTTTTTTTTAAGAAAACCTTTGTTTAAGGTCTAGATAGCCATATTACCTACCATTCCCCAAATATTGGGACATCCCTACCCCTTGTTGGGACCACCAAAAAGGTACAAAGGCCGTTAATCCCAGTTTTCCTAATCTACACCAAAGATATTCAGAAGTTTTGTACTTTCATGGCTAAACTTCTTCTTAAACTGTGCAAAACAGTCTAAAGAAGAACATTTAAAGTGCAACGTTGCTCGTTTCTTTCAGCCATTTGGTGTTTCGATCCTCACCTGTGCATATGCCAGTCTGACCCAGATTAACGCAGTGGGATTATCCCTCGATCAGCAGTCTTAACTCGATTGCTCGGCATTGAAGTCAGTGCGCTGCTGGAATGAGATAGCCAAATAAAGAGGCTTAGAGACTCTACTTAATCCAGGTTTTATTTCAACCTGGCACAACAAAAGGCATCTTAGAGCTTAGACACAAACAGCCGCAGGCTTGAGCTGATTGCTCCGTCGCAGCGTTTCTGAACACTGTTTCTGTTTCAGAGCAGCAACAAGAGGTTGTTTCTAGATTAGCAAGAGTTTAAATGTGCCTTAAAACCTATAAATATCTCTAATGCTTTGTCAGCGTCACACAGCCTATCACGCTAATTAGAGAGACAACAGCGACTCGGCGGTTGTTTGACAGCTTCACGTGAACTAATTCAGATGAGGGGGGGTTGTGAGGGAGTCCCCCGGTAGCTGCAGGGCTCCTGCGGCGATGCAGTTGGCTACAACGGAAAACGCAACATGCGGGCTGAAAAACAAGGAAATTACTCACTGCCATGCAACATCTAAACACGATGGAAAACTCAAGAAATGCGGCATCAGAGAGTCAAGAATAGTGGAAAGTGGAGACTCTGGAGTCTGATGGCCTGTGGGGGGGGGGGGGGGGGGAAGATTACAACTATAAAACCTGTACTAAACATTACTTTAGCAGCAGGCTACTAGAAAACAAAAATTAAAGAGATTTCTATACCCTCCAATATTGCCCCAACCTAAAATTATTCTGCTGAAACCTGGTATTTCCGAGCCTGAGACGACCCTTTGTTACAAATCAACGATGCTACAGCGTCTCTTATTACAGGTAATGCATAAAAGATGGTCTTAGTTTTCAGTCCACAGCACCTAAGTGTTGGTGGAGGATCTCAAATAACTCATTCAAATACAAACGTGTAATCATTTGAGGACAGTTTAGTTCAAAATAGTCATATTTGGCCATCAGCTCCCCTTTTGGATGATTGTACCCCTTAAACTTTCTTCTTGGTATTTAATTTAGTCAAAAAGGTTCATCTATGCAACATGTTTGGCAAATATAATGAAAGCAACATTCCTATTTCCATGTTCAAAGGTCTTAAAGGAGCTTTTATCAATCCATCCATCCATCCATTATCTTCAACTTATTCCGAAGTCAGGTCTCGGGGGCAGCAACTTGAGCAGGGAGGTCCAGACATCTCTTTCCAGAGCCACCTCTTCCAGCTCTTCTGGGAGGACCACAAGGTGTTCCCACGCCAGCCAAGAGACGTAGTTTCTCCACCGTGTCCTGGGTCTTCCAGGGTCTCCTCCCAGTCGGCCATGCCTGCCCAGGAAGCATCCCTACCAGTTGAACCACCTCAACTGGCTCCTCTGGATGTGGAGGAACAGCAGTTCTACTCTGAGTCTCTCCAGGATAACTGAACTTCTCACCCTATCTCTAAGGGAGAGTCCATCTACCCTGCAGAAAACTCATTTCAACCGCCTATATCCATGATCTCATTCTTTCAGTCACTACCCAGAGTTCATGACCATAGGTGACGGTAGGAACGTAGACCAACTAGTAAACAGAGAGCTTTGCCTTACAGCTCAGCTCTCTCTTCACCACAATGGACCGGCATATAGTCCACAATACTGCAGATGTTGCACCAATCAATCTGTCAGTCTCGCACTCCATGCTTCCCTCACCCATGAACAAAACCCCGAGATACTTGAACTCCTCCACTTGAGGCAGAACCTCACCCTCGACCTGAAGAGAACAATACACCCTTTTCTGACTTTTAAGGAGCTTTTAATGCTTGAATGTGAGCTGGGGATGTTTTACAGCTAGTCATGGTAAATATTTGCTCAATATATGTAAAAAATAAAAATAAATTGGACATTTTCGTATATGCTAACGTTGATTACCGTATTTTCCAGAGTATAAGTCGCACCTGTCAAAAAGGTGTCATGAAGAGGAAACAAAACATAAGTCGCATCGGAGTATAAGTCGCGTTTATTATTTGTCACCGCTGACCCCTGGGAAACATGGGCCGGTGTTGTGCCAAAAATCGATTTGCGGCCGCGGGAGTGCGCATGGGAGGACTCGCTGTTGCAGTTCTTCGAAATTTACCAAGATTAACGCTTAAAAACTATGATTTGTTTGCTCGACATTATAGCAAAGGTGTGCCTCATTTTAACTTTTTCCTTAATAAGTGCACTTTAATGGTCAATGTTTGGCGGGGGCAGCGGTACAGGAACAACATATACGCCTATCGGTAGTTGTCAACAGCCTAGAGGGCCCTCTCGCGCCTCTAGTGGCTGCAAATGGTAATGTTTACTCTGGTTCACGTCAGTATGAATGAACATTTAAAGCGTCAGTCGAAAATTGTGTTATGAATATGGAAAAAAAAACATATATAAGTCACTTCGGCCTATAATAAGTCACGCCGAAGTGACTTATAAGTTGCAAGACTGACAAATCTGTGCAAAAAACTGCGACTTATACGCTGGAAAATACGGTAGCTCTGGCAACCCTCTTGAATCAGATTGACTCAAATGTTTTTGACTATCCCCAAAATATACATTTTCTCATCTTTTTTTGTGACTTTTTGCCCTTTTCCCCCTTTATTTTAATTAAACCTGAGCTACGGCTGCTTTTTGCTTTAATCTCTGATGCTGTTCAAAAGCGGCAGGAGCATGTGAGCTAATTCTGGATTAGCCAGGTGCACTTTTTTTTGTTTTTGTCTTCCTCACACACCGAGCTGACAGTTAAGAATTTGCTTTAATCGTTCAGGGTCGGTTAGCTGGTCGAAGGTCAGTGATGAGCTGAGAGAACAAGCATGTGGAAGCTAATAAGAGAGGCGTCTTTAAGTTTATTTATCCCAGTTAAACTCTAACACCCCAATGCTGAGCTGCCGACGTCCTTAACGTTTTCTCCCTCATCGCTCACCTCTTCGTTCTTTCGTGAGCCTCTCTGCATTTTTTTTTGTTTCTTTTGTTTCTTTTAATTAATAAATCCATCCAGCTGTTTGTGTTTTTACCCATTTCGTAATTGACAGACGCTCGCCTAAAAAAAGAGCGTTCTGTTTTGAAATCCAGCCCTCCCTCCGTTTTCCGTCCTTGTGATCCAATATTCAGTGGTTCGGGGATTGTTTGCCCTGAGCTGTCATCAAAGAGATCTGAGTGTGCCGTCCCGAGAAAAACTGGGTCAGAAAAGCTACGTTTACTGAAAGCATCTGAGGGGAGACAACACCAGTCTGGGGCAGATCTTTTTTTCATTTTCTATGTGGTTTTCCTAAACTGTTCGCTCGGACTCCATGTTTCTGTCCTGGAGCAAAACTCTGCTCCACACCTGGTTGTCTCGTTTTAATAAGCTTACATTGTTTGCCCTAAACTGAGCGCTGCTGTTGTAAAACTCTTTGTTTTGTTTAGTGTCATTAAAGTTTTTATGTCTTTAAGACATACTTGTAAGTTAAGTAACTGATCGGAATCATCGAATTTCATGGAAAAATATAACGGAGTATCATCAGCATAACAATGAAAATTTATCCCATGCTGTTTAATAACTTTACCTAATGGAAGCATATATAAGGTAAAGAGTGCTGATCCAAGCACTTAACCCTGAGGAACTCCAAGACTAACTTTCATGTATGAAGATGATTTATTATTTACATTTACAAATTGGAGTCTATCAGCTAAATATGATAAACTAATTTAGAGCCGTTCCTGTAATCCCCAAATTTTTGAATAGTTTTTTATTTTTGTGGTTCAGGTACGACTTCATAGAGATCCGCGATGGAATCTTAGATGCAGCTGATGTTTTGGGTCGACACTGCAGCAACATCGCCCCCGCGCCGATCATCTCGTCGGGGCCCTCGCTCCAGATCCGATTCGTATCGGACTACGCCCATCAGGGGGCGGGCTTCTCTCTGCGCTACGAGATCTTCAAAACAGGTGAGAGAACAACAATACAAGAACGTATAGATGCTTTAAAAAGTGTAAAAAGAACCAAGTCGACAGATGTTAAAGCCAGTGGCTCGTTGTGGTCGCCGTAGTAACCATATAAGAGGCAGACAGAAACACAGACTGAAATGTAAACCTCAAACAGTTACTGAGCTTCAAGTCAGAACTTGGAAATTGTTGAATCCTGAGCTGCAGAAAACTCTGGTGGTCACATGTCAACTTTTATAGTGTTTTATGTAGGAGATAAGCGGATCAACAAATATTCTAAATTTGAAGGGAATATTTTGAGATAAAATACGACTGAAGTTTATGGAAGTTTGAGGGTTCCCTTTGCGTTTTCAGAGACAACTGTTTGTCCTGTAGCAGTGAATAAAGTTAAAAAATGCCTACATATTGATGTGAAATGTGTTTATGTAAAAAAAAAAAAAAAAAGTTGTGGGAGCAAGAAGAGTTTATTTCCAAAGGTTTTGACTGTGATATCATCAACCGTTAGCCGAATAGTCCTTGGAAATATATGTCAGAATTATAAAACTTGAGCTTTAATTGTAAAAAAAAAAAAATAATAATAATAATAAATCTAAACTATATTAAAATGTCAGTTCTGTCAAGTAAAATCCAATTTTCTGTGACCCATTTAAACTTTATATAATGATCAAATAACTCTCAAGGCCTTCTACCCCTTCAGTGAAGGCCTAAGAATTTAGCACATATAAAATGTTGCATTTAAATTATTTATTTGAAATTTATTTTATAGAAAACATATTTTTTCAATGTAGTTTCTCGTATTTTTGCTAACTTTCTGTAAATTACTTTGCAGTTGAGCAAAAAGCTTTTTAATTCATGAAAATCCAGTTATCCAATCAGATTATTTTAAATTTGTGTATCCAGGTAGAAACACGTCTGATGGTTCTCCCTCATTGGTCAGGACTTCACTGTCAGCAGAGAAGGCGGAGTTCAGTCTTTGCAGGAGGAGTTTGTTTACTGACTGGAAAATTAACCAATCAGAATGTTGACGTAGAGTGGGTGGGACCAATACGCTGACGTTTGAGCCTTCAGGAAGGCCATGCTGTATATTTATTTATTATATTAGTTGTTTTTTTTAAGCACATGAACTTTGTGATGCATTCAATTTCAACCTGTAAATTCAAAAACCCACACTGAAATTGTAGTTTGCTTTTTAAAATGCAGATTAAATATCATATTTAGGTTTACATTGATAATCATTTAATCTTAAATTTGCATTTTGTTTTCATTAAAAGACTAAATTTTACAGAAACGGTAAGTTCTGTGGGTGACGGGTAACTTTCAGTGTGAATTATTGAAATTACTTGTTGTACTTGAACACCATAGGTTGGGTGAGCCGCAGGGGCTTCTGGGTAATCTTGAGACTGAAAGGGTGGACTTCTTCAGGTTCTGTGTTCAGATGGGTCGTCCCTGTTGGTTCTGTTGGTGTTTACGTTCAGGTTGGTGGTGGTGACTGTAAAACACCATGAGTCAGACCTGATGGATAAAAATGGGGGAAAGCACTTCCTGTTCAGAGAGAGTTCCTGGAAAGTGAAGCCGAAAGTAAAGTGACGTCATCCTTAACATCTGCACCATCAGCGTGTTGTGGTTTGTTCAGCCGACCGAAGGTCTAGCCCTGATAGAGACCACGGTGGCGTCACATAAATCACAAACGGTTAAATCTTCTCTTCACCTTGTTGTTTCTCACTCCAACACATTCACAGCATTTTACATCGTTAGACGCCAGCAGGCGTGTCAACAAAAATATATATATAGTCGGAGAAGACGAGAGCGACGGGGAAGCATGTGAAGAATGCCGGTTTAATTGGAGCAGGATTGACTTCCTCCGGGGAGACGAGGCGGGCTGGATGTGGGAGGTTATGGTGGGATGATGGAGAGCTCCGAGGCAACTTTGGAGTTGGACCGAAGGTTAAAGGTTTATGGGGAGAGGCTGGAGCCAGGAGATTAATGGGGATGAGTGTGTGCCGAAATGGAATTTTCTCCAAGTGGGCAAAGTGCAGGGGGGTGGGGGGGGTCACTTTCCAGCAAGGCAAGTATTTGTTTTTGTGTTGTGGTGTGCGTTACGGTGGCCCTAAGGTGTAAATGAACAAAATTTGAAAAAACTGAATTACATTTGAAAAAACACAACTGTATGTGGAAAACATGGAATTACATTAAGCCAAAGCAGAAGTGGCCAGAATCACATTTGAAAAAAATGGAATAACATTAGTAAAACTGGAAATTATATAATTTTTCGAATGATTCAGTTTTTTCAAATGGAATTCTGTTTTTTTCTAATGTGATTCTGTTTTTTCAAATGTGATTCCGTTTTTTTCTCATGTGATTCCGCTTTTTTCCAAATGTGATTCCAGATTGTTCAAATGTGATTTTGTTTTTTTCAAATGTGATTCCGTTTTTTTTTTGTTTGTTTGTTTTTGTTTTGTCAAATGTGATTCCGGCCATTTCCCCTTTGGCCACTTCCGCTTTTGGCTTAATGTAATTCCTGTTTTTTCAAATGTGATTCCGTTTTTTCAAATGTGATTCCAACCACTTCCACTTTGGCTTAATGTAATTCCGTTTTTTTCAAATGTAATTCCGTTTTTTTCTAATGTAATTCCGTTTTTTTTCAAACGTAATTCCGTTTTTTTCAAATGTTGTTGGGTTTTTTTGTTTAGATAATTCTGTTTGTTTCAAATGTTGTTCATTTACACCTCATGGCCGTAGTGTGTACTACTGGTAGCAGTAGAGGGAAAACGTTCAAACGTCCTTGGGGCCGAGAGGCTTAAGAACCAGTTTGCAGTGTTTTAAGGAGCTCCTCCATCACTGGAGCTTCAAAGTTTGTCTGGATTCTAAAAGGAGGTGGTAAAATTGACATCCTGCAAGATAAAACCCCGCTCTCGTCGCTCGTTATCACCTCCCACCTTTAAAAACGTTTCTGTCGTTCGTGTCGAGCGAACGTGACCCAGATTTGTCGTTCAGCTCCGTTTCCAAGGCCACCAGCTTGCCGAACCCTGACAAAGTTACACTGCAGATTGCATCTGTCTCACACACACACACAAAGCTAGATTGAAGGCTGCTGGATGTGATGGGGTGGGGGGTGGGGGGCATAGCTTTAATAAGATCTCAGCAGAAATGCTGGGAGAGATGGTGTCAGTGTGCAAACACATGTAGGTGTCTGCGCGAGTGTGGGCGGTTCCACTCAGCGTGATGTGAGATTCTGTCTGCAGAGTTGGAGGTGGCTTGATAGATGCACATGTGCAAAAGAACGGAAGGGGGGGAGGCCACGAGGAAATGATTGGGGTGAAGAGAGCCAGACTGACGAGGAATGAGTAAGTCTAGAGAGTGAAATATATTCAGGAAGCGTGATTGAGGCCAAGTGTTAATTATGGCGTTCCCAGTGCCTGTACGCCCTCTCATCACGGCTGTTTGTCTTACGGTGGCAGGCGGGGAGCCTCGGGTTGTCTTGCTGTGGCAGGCCGAGGGCCTCGGGTTTTCTACCGAACAGCTTCTGACGGGAACACAAAGATCCCGGCTGAGATGTGTTTACTTTCCCCACTACGACCAGATTGTTGCTCGTTTTTTTTTGTGCGCTTTAATCTGTTTCATTACTTTTAAAGTCCGCGTTGGTTGTGTTTGTGTGTGTGTGTCTGTGTGTGTGTTTTTAAAGGGTGCGTCCACAGATTGATATCTGAGCCTACAGCTGGGAGGTGTGTGTGTGTCAGCTTCCTTCCCATCTCAGACAGCACCACGACATGTCTCGAAGTCGGAGTGTGTCTGGTTTCAATTGCTTGTGTTTCTGTGTATGTGTGTGTGGTGCCCTCTGTGCTATGAACTAATGATACCACGGCTTGTTTTTGTTTTGTTCATTCAGCCCTGTTACATAAGCAGCGACTGTAACTTCTCCAGGGGGTTTGAGTTTGTGTGTGTGTGTGTCTTAGTTTATGTTACCTTGTAAGGCCCATTTTTCCAACTTTCCAACTTATACAACCTTGTGACGACCAACTGCCCCTTATGGGGCCCAAAGCCCGGGCCCCATAAGAAGAAGTGTTGTTGGTGGGTGACTGGTTTGGTGATGTGGTCGGGGACTTCACTGAATAGTGCGAGTCCTTTTTAAAGTTAAAAGTTTCTAAGACAAAAAGATGGTCATTGATTTTAGAAAAGACTCTTCAGTTCCTGTGGTCGTCAACAGTGAAGCTGTCGAGGTGATGCATCAATATAAATATCTGGGAACTGTTCTTGATGACAAAATGACCTCTGACCCCCTTGTGAACTCACTTTTAAGAAGAATCAGAGAATGTATTTTGACTTTGGGACTTTGATTCTGGCAGATCCTGATCATCACTTCATGGTGAGTTCAGGTGTCTTCCATCTTGGCGCAGGTGCACGGATGTAGAACGAACAGACTGAAAAACTCATTCATCCCTCTAGTGATTCTGATTTTAATGTCTTAATGTCTTGTATGGGTGTTTTATATCTCTACTGACTGAAACAAATCGTTCCTCTGGGACAATAAAGATTCTTGAGCTTGATCAGGGTTAGGCTAAAGAAATGAATGGAAGTCAGTGCAAAGTCCCTGTAAAGATAGAGCCATGGGTCAAACACACACGTTTGTCTTTCTGTCCATCTTTAAGGGGAGTAAGGTGAGTGCCACGGAAAATCATCTTCTTGAACACACACTCGCACACACTTTCTGACATTACATATTAATGTTGTACACTGAAAGTGTAGCCCCCCCCATTGTCGTGCCCTACTTTTATCCTACTCGTGCGTGTTTAACCCTTTACTCCACCCCTCCCCTTTTAACGTACACACAGTCACGTGCTGCTGATGCTGTTACCACGGCTACAAGGGGAAGACTAAGGAAGACCCCCTGGTCCCCCCAAAGCCCCCTAACAGCACGGTGGGGAGTACCCTACATATCAGCCAATCCCGATGCGAGACCCAGAGCGCTATGTGGCCGCCGCTGACCGTCGCGTCTGCAGAGCCCA